TGCCCTTGGGGTGTGTGTGTATGTATGTATGTGTGTGTGTGTGTGTGTGTGTCTTCATGGGTGGGGAGGAGAGAACAGATGTCCTTAGGGTGTGTGTGTGTGTGTGTGTGTGTGTGTGTGTGTGTGTGTGTGTTCACGCGCACACTTGAGTTTGTTGCTTCGGTTGTGGGATCATTTTGGAAGTGGGCCCAGGGCGAGGGGAAGCCCTGAGGAGGACCTGGCCTTTCTTCATGGGCATGGAGGCTTAGGGGCCTTGGTTCTCTCCAGGGTAAATTACCCGCCTCATTGCCAAGCCGTAGCATTTTCTCTAAAATGGTGGAGATACTGGACAGCTTGGAGTTTCCTAAACCCAGACGTCAGATGTTGGCAACTATTGAAAGAAAACTGAGTTTTCTGAAAAGTCAGTTGGTTTAGGACCCTGTTTTTAAGTCTCGTGAATTCACAGAACATTTTAAAAACAGATGTGTGTGTGTGTGTGTGTGTGTGTGTGTGTGTCTGTCTGTCTGTCTGTCTGTGTCTCGTATGCACGTGAGTGCAGGTATCTGAAGAGGCCAGAGGTGTTGGATCTGGAGCTAGACCTGCCTGCTGTGGGTGCTGGGAACCAAATTTAGGTTCTCTGCAAGAGCAGTACGTCTTAAGAGATCAGCCACCTCTCCAGCCTTTGAGAAGATCTCTAGCTGTGTGTGTGAGAGGAGGGGGGAACACACCCAGAGTTTTGTGCATGAAAGCCTGCAGAGCTGGGGCTTCATCGCTGAACTCCATGCAGCTCTGCCAGTGAGCCGTTTTGTTAGTCACAGGATGAGGAAGCCATCCTCATTAATATTACTTTCCTTCTTTTTCAGGAATCGGCGGTTGGAATTGTGGTGTTTTTTACGACCTTTTTCATCCCAGCTGCATATGTGCTACCCAATCTGAACCACTTCAGAAGAGAGTAGATGCCAGTTGCCGTCTGAGCAGCACCTCAGTTCCAAAATGCTTTCAGTAAAAGCCATGGCCTCTTTACATGAGAAAAATGGCTTAGTTGAATCGGTTGTGGATATTCAGTTTTATAACTGTATGTCTGTGGTGTTCTGCACTTTTTTCCCCAACTGTGCATTATATGGATGGCAAAAATAATCTGCTTAAGTGTTAAGTAAAATGGAAACACTTATTTGTGCCTAGTATTATTTTCCTTTGTACTTTTTTGGGGGGCTTAAGATGCTAGGGATCCAACCCAGGGTCTCAAGTGTGAGGGGCACTCTACCACTGAGCTATACCCCAATATCATGAAAGTTGTTAACAATTTACTAATGAAAAAATACAATGAGAAAAAAATGAATGAGACTGTTAGGAAGGGTGGCACTTGGTGATTCTGAGTGACAGCAAGCATTTGATAGATGCGAACACCTGGATCTAGTAACATCAACTGTGAGAGATTAAACATGCTTTAAGATATTGTACATTTAGCTAAATGTTTTTCATGGTTTGCCAACCCCATTTTTACTGTGAGAAATACGACTTTTTTGTGTGTGGCCTGGGAATGGAACCCAAGGCCTCACCATGGGAGATTTGTGCTCTTGTTAATCCCACCAGTTAAGAATAACACCATTACCACAATTTTAAGCCAAATTTGAAGCAAACTTTAATTAAATACTGGCCAGGTTGATGGACTCTCTGGCCAGGTCCATCTCTGTGTTCCCAGAAAATGGACACAAATCACAGTGTGCAGGGGCTTAAAAAGGCAAGCCTCATGATTTATCACATTTCCCATCAATTCCAATCAAGGGCAAGCATGCACCTTGACATATTTCCTGCCTCCGTACCTCCTTCCTACATCCAATTGGGCAAGTGTACATCCTGATGTAAATCCTGCCGGTGACCGTCCCGCCCACATATGATCAAGCATTCCCAGTGCAAATGAGCCAAACAAACATAGAACAAATTTATTCTTAGCTGCAAACAACCCTACACCTGCAAGGTATATTTTTCCTGCTTTGTTCTTACACTCTAGCTGTGAGTTTCAGTTATCTTTTCAAGCTTTGTTTACTCCAGGCACAGTCACTCTCCTAATTTCTGATTTTGTTGTTCTTAATCAGCTTTCAAGTTTGGCACATTATATGTATACACAGCTGTATTCCTTATTTTTACTGTTGCTATGACCAAATCCCAACAGAAGCAGAGTAAAGAGGGGACGACTTATTTTGGTTCATGGCTTTATCTCTCTTGCTTGGGGCATAGTGTGGCAAAGCAGAACATTTCACAATTATGGTGGCCAAGAAATAGAGAAGAGAGTGCTACAGAAAGGGGGTAGGGTGGGGGAGTATAACCTCGAGGACACACGCAGACCCGGTGAGTACTTCCTTCAGCTGGGCCCCAACTTCCTAGTCTTTATCTCCCCAGAGATCTGTCTTTTTGTTTGTTTGTTTTTTGTTTTGTTTTCAAGACAGGATTTCTCTGTATAGCCCTGGCTGTCCTGGAACTCCCTCTGTAGATCAAGTTGGCATCAAACTCAGAGGTCCACTTGCCTCTGCCTCTCAAGTGCTGGGACTAAAGGTGTGCGCCACCACCACCTGCCAGTGATTTCCAAATATTATGAATCCATCAACCATTGAACCATCTAATCAGATTGGAGCCTTCAATATCCAATCCCTTCTGAAAACCCCATCAACTAGCTACTAAGCCCCTAAAACATGCTGCTGTTGACGGGGGGACATTTCATATTGAAACTGTCAGTATCTTTTTAAAAAGTTATTTATGTATATGTGCCATAATGCAGAGCTCAGAGAGCAACTTCCAGGAGTCAGTTTTCTAACCCCCCACGTGGGTCCTGGAGAGTTGCACTCAGGTTGTCAGGTTTGACAGCAAGTGCCCTTAGTCACTGACCACCCACCTTTGGATTTTTAGTATACTGTGTAGTTATGGTGCAGCCCTCAACTCGGAGCCTCAATTTCCTTATCTCTGTAATAGGGGCCCAGAATTACTTTTTTGAAGGGATTTTGTGGGGATTAATTAACTTGGTGAACAAGGAAAAAATAGTTTTCAGCATAGTGATTGAAAGTAAATAAATAGAGGTTCTTGTTAGATATGTTTGCTAATGTTCATTTCATGTATACTGTATTTTTGTGACGTACTAGGTATTGTCTAGAGCAACAGACCAACACATAGGTCATGGCACTTTGTGGACCTAAAGACCTTAGAAGATTGCATTGGGTCACTCTAGTATTTCTATTTCAACATTTTTATTGGGAGCCAGATGTGGTGGTGCACAGCTGTAATTCTAGCACTAAGGAGGATGAGACAGGAGGATCATAAACTTGAAGCCAGCCTGACTACAAAAGTGAGACCTCCTTTCCTCAGTCTCCAAAAGCAGCAAGAACAATGTGATTTTGTTAGGGTTTTCCAGAGGAACATCCAATAGAGTGTGTGTGCTCACACAGGTACATGTGTGTATGTGTGTTATTTGTGTGTACATAGAAACTGGTTTGAAGATTTACTGTGTGCAGTTATGGTAAATTCAGAATTTGCAGGGTAGTGCAGGCTGAAGGCAGAGTATAAAGTTGTAGTTAAGTTTGAAGATAATTTGCTCTTTAGGGAAGACTTCTCTCTAAAGGGCTTTAGGGGCATTTATTTGTTAGGTTTTTGTTTGTGGTGAACATGGGGCCTTGTATGTGCTAAGCAAGTACTTTGCTGCATTCCAAACCTCAGCCTTTTTGTTTTGTTTTGTTTTTGAGGATGTGTCTCTCTATATAGCCCTGGCTGCTCCGAAGCTCACTACGGAGACAAGGCTGTCCTGAACTCACAGAGATTCACCGGCCCCTGCTCTCAAGTGTTGGGATTAAAGGTGTGTGCCACCATGCCCAGCCCCAGTCTTTTGAAAAAGCCTTTGGATCACTGGATAAAGCCAGCCACATGTGTTTTACAGAAAGTCTGTGGATTTAAATAGTATTCCCTTCCAGCTCTCACACAGACATCTAGAATAGTGTTTGGCTGAATAGCTGGGCATCATAGCTTATCCAAGTTGACAGAAAATTAACCATCACAGTTGGGTAAAACAAATTGTGAGTTAATTAAAATCTTATCCATTCACTAAGATCAGCTTTGGGAAAACCCCTCTTACAACATTTAGAAATAAAGCAATCTCTAACAGTTATATTGATCCAACATTTTTTCCCCTGATAACCTTTACCAATGAAGGAAAATGGAAATAATTTTTGGAATTATAAATTCAGGTTTTAGGCAAGGACTTGGAAGTCATGTGTAATATATTTAATTTGTAAGTGTGCTTAACAGGGTTTTTGAGACAGTTTCTCTATGTAGCCCTGGCTGTCCTGGAGCTCACTATGTTGACCAGGCTGGCCTCAAATCCAGAGATCCATCCTGACTCTGCCTCCCAAGTGCTGGGATTAAAGGCATGCACCATTACCACCTGGCAAATACAATATTTTTAAAAGCAATGTATTTGTATTTGGTATATTGTGGTAAATGTTCTATGAGAAATATTGAAATATTTCTTTTCAGTAGGATTATAATTGTGCTCTTTTACTTTGTTGGGGGTGGGCACAGGTTCTCATTATGTAGCTTAGACTGGCCTTGAACTCAACAGTTCTCTTTTCTTAGACTCCTGCATGCTGGGATTCCAGGTATGCCTGTCCCATCATGCCTTGCCAAATTATTTTCAATATAGGAAAAATGTTATTTTGTATGTCTTGTTTTTCCGAGACAGGGTCTGTGGCAGTTTGAGTGAGTTGTTTCTCCAAGATTTGGGACTTTTTAATACTTTGTTACTGTTTTTTTTTTTTTGAGACAGGATCTCACTATATAACCTTGGCTGTGTTGGACCTATGTAGACCAGGCTGGCCTAGAACTCACAGAGATCCGCCTGCCTCTGTCTCCAACGTGCTGAAATTAAAGACGTGCACCACCATGCTCAGCTATAAAATGTTATTTTCAAGGTTGTGTTTATTTTTAAAGTTTCGATGCTACAGAACAGCACAGAATAATGGATAACTCGTTTAATTCTGCAAGCTTGTTTCCTTTACTATAAGATTAACATATTGTCCTAGATCCATGAATTTTATTTTTTTGCTTTATTGGAAACAATACATCATCATGTAAAAATTTCATTCCTTGCTATTTATGGGGAATTTTTGTTTTTTAAAATTTATCATTTTTGTGTGTATATGGTGTATGTGTGAGTGCACATATCCCACTATGTGTGTGTGTATGTGTGCGTATGTGTGAGTCAGGGGACATTTCTTGGAGTTGTTCTCCTTCTACCACGGGTTTCCTGGCTTGAACTCAGGTCATTATGTTTGGCCAGCTCTCTTACCTGCTGAGCCATCTCACTAATCCCTACTTTGCCTTTTTTATCTTTGTATTTTGTTCTTCACAAAGCAAAAACTAATCAGTCTGCTAGTCCCTTGATTTTGATAGAGGTAAGTTCTGCAGAGTGAAATGACAGAACCACACCATAGTGGCTCGGCTTATTTGTTTGTTTGTTTGTTTTTTTTGAGCCATTAATGTTATTAGAAACACACCCTCCCATACTTACCTGGCAGGGGAGATACCATGATCATGAAGGTGGTTTTCCCAGGGCGAGGCTTATCCATTGCACTCCGGATGTGCTGACCCCTGCGATTTCCCCAAATGCGGGAAACTCGACTGCATAATTTGTGGTAGTGGGGGACTGCGTTCGCGCTCTCCCCTGAAGAAACACACACACACACACACACACACACACACACACTACTTAGAATCTCTTCAGGCTTGAAATTCCTTGTATTTAGTTCTTTTTTTTTTGAAGCAGGGTTTCTCTGTGTAGTTTTGGTGCCTGTCCTGGATCTTGCTCTGTAGGCCAGGCTGGCCTCGAACTCTCGAAGATCCGACTGGCTCTGCATCCTGAGTTCTGGGATTAAAGGTGTGTGCCACCACTGCCACCACCGCTTCTGTCATTTTTTTTCCCCCACAGTGATCTGTTTAAAAACCTTATGTTTTAATTGTCTATTTTTTTTATTTTTTTATTTTTGGGGACAGGGTTTCTTTGTGTAGCTTTCCGCCTTTCCTGGAACTCACTTGGTAGACCAGGCTGGTCTCGAACTCACAGAGATCCGCCTGGCTCTGCCTCCCAAGTGCTGGGATTAAAGGTGTGCGCCACCACCGCCCGGCCTTAAT